AATAATTTTAAAAAAAATTTCTTGCATTATGACTTCCTACGTTAATGTTTAGTTTAGTTTAGCCCCTCGAGATCCGAAGGGCTATCTTAGCACCCGCCGTCTGCTCATTGGGTGTCTTGCACAGGGGGATAAGCCCTAGCCCTAGCCCTAGCCCTAGCCCTAGCCCTAGCCCTAGCCCTAGCCCTAGCCCTAGCCCTAGCCCTAGCCCTAGCCCTAGCCCTAGCCCTAGCCCTAGCCTAGCCCTAGCCCTAGCCCTAGCCCTAGCCCTAGCCCTAGCCCTAGCCCTAGCCGCTAGCCCTAGCCCTAGCCCTAGCCCTAGCCCTAGCCCTAGCCCTAGCCCTAGCCTAGCCCTAGCCCTAGCCCTAGCCCTAGCCCTAGCCCCTAGCCCTAGCCCTAGCCCTAGCCCTAGCCCTAGCCCTAGCCCTAGCCCTAGCCCAAACCCTAGTCCTAACCTAAGCCTTTAGCCGATTGTTTCTAACCCCCTTACTTCTATTCCTTACCCCTAACCCTTAAAGCTAATGTGACAATAGCTTTGAACTTCTATCACGAAAAAAAAAAGATTTATTTTGAATTCTTGTAAATAAAAATAATCAAACGAAAATTATAAAACAAATGCACATGAGCGGTTTGGTTGCAAACACTTTTAATAGAATCAGAAAAGACCTATGTTGATGGGCGTCTAGAAAAAAAAGGTGGGGAGGTATGTTGGTAGGGAGGGGGTGGGTGAAGAGGGTGTCTTATTTGACGGTAGCAGTGCTATTTAACTGAAGTTTTGGGGTAGGTTCAAAAAGCGGAGTGGCGGTAAAGGGGTTGGGTCTGTTTAAAACTTAACATAATGAAGCGTGTTATTTCTGGGTGTCGTGGATCAAATGAATAAATGAGAAGAATGCAACCTTAAGCTTGAGACTGTTGTTAGATGCGAACGTGCAGGAAGATCAACATACCTACACCCGACTACATTGTACCATATCTTTTACGTTTTTCTAAAAAAGGTTTTCAGTTGTTTTTCTTCACGATATATAAAAATCATTTTAAAAAACATAACTGTTGTCACTTTACAAGTTTTGAATACAGTTGATCGTTTCTGTGATAGAAGGCATATAAATTTTGAAATGCTTGTTGTTTTACAACGCATTCTGTTTTACATAACATTCTGTTTCATGTTTTGTTTTACATATCCCAAGTAAAGAACACTGAAGGTATGCGAACAGATCTATATCCAACCAGTTTTAATTTTTGCTCTTTCAATATAGAAAACAAATCCTCCGTTTTTCTCAGCTTAGTTTTTACTTCCGATCTTCAATATTATTTACACATTTTTCTTTATAGCCTATCTGTTCAACTTTTTGCTATTTAATATAACTTACTAATCTCTGTTTATAGCGTTATGATTTTTTTTTTTTTTTTTGTGAAAGTTAATGTACGATACAAACCTTCACACATTTGTTTATTATATTACTTTTGTTATTCAAAGATACAAAACTTTCCTTATCTCACAATGATTGAACTGTTTGTTCTCAATATAAGACTCACACCTTCCCTTATCTTACTTTACCGTTGATTATTTTTTTTCTATTCACAATACGCCAGAAAGCTTCCATAATCCCACTGTTATATTACTTTATATTTTTTCAATTAAAAACTACAAATTAATCGTCACAAACTGAAAAGCTCTCCAATGTTTTCTGGAGCTGTCGGGATCTTTCAATTTTAATCACTGTAAATCCTAACTTTGATTAGATCACCCACTCTATCAAAGGCTGTCAACCTTCAAATGAAAAAACAGAGTTCAGTCTAATTGGACAAGAAAGGGGAGGGGGGGGGGTGGGAAGGGGGGCGAGGTTTGACGAATCGTAGATCAGCGGTCGTGTCATTGTGAAGAGGCATCGGGCAGATGGCTGGTTATTGAAACACAGAAAAAACACGCAATGCGCGCCGTTAACAACCACACTGAAAGAAATTCTGGAGAAAGATTTTGAAGACATTTTATTCTGTGCTGGAATTTATAAATTTTATGTTAACACGTTTGGGTGAGTATACAATAGACTGCCTATAGTGGGGTAAAAAACAGTACATAGTAGTAGTATAAGTAGTAGTTGAAGAAAGGGGAACTGTGGTGAAATATTTCAATATATATTATATATATATATATATATATATATATATATATATATATATATATATATATATATATATTTATTTATATATATATATATATATATATATATATATATATATATATATATATATATATATATATATGGCTTTGAGAAACAAATGTAGACACATAGCAACACAATATGTATGTGGTCATTAGTAGTTGGGTAAAGGACCAATAGCAAACTGCGAAAACTGACTTTCCTGATGTCCACCTTTACGACACAATACATATACAAGCTTGGTTGATGTGATTGTTTTGGTTATTATTATATTACTAGACAAATGGCCCGTTGAGGGAGAAATACAACGGGCGCCACGTTAATAGTGTTGTCTTTTTTTCTAAACCAAAACCAAAATTACCACTTCAACTTCAATTTAACCGGAAACGAAAAATGTCATTGAAAACAGATTTTTTATCCAGAATTTGCATTTAGTCAACCCCACTCTGATAATTTCAAGCGCCCCACCCCTCCTTTTCCCATCTGAAAGAAACACTGGTAGTATTTGTTGTTCATATAAACCTAAGTTAGACCTTATAATCTAGACCCGTTTCCTACTTTTGGCCGCTAAACCTCAATCATGCATATAGTGATTTTTATTTAGATTTTTTTTCTCCAGGGTAGGGGGCACGGGGGAAATTGAATTTTTTATTTTAGGGGGGGTGGCAGAAATTCTCCGAGGGAGGGGCTGACACTTGTAAAATTATATATTTTCTATATAAATTTTGTTTCAGGGGGACGGGGGGACTACCCCCAAGAGATGCTTGAAAAAAAAAATCTACATGCAGACCACTTTTATGAGACCAATACATTTAGGCGGTAATGTTAGTGTCTTTATTATCAAGTATCGATTCGATGACGTCATTATATTTGTGGCATATCGTTTCGTTTTGAAAATTTTCTATATGTTCCAAGGTCGTTGGGAGTTTTGTACCGTTTTACTGTGCGTCTAATAAAGTTCCTTGCGCAATGCTTCTTTCAGACATCCTTTCGATGCCCCCCCCCCCGAGCGAAATACAATGTATATAGAAAATATATATTTTGAACAGTGTCCGCTCACCCCCCCCCCCCCCCCCAGAAATTTTAGTCCACCCCCCCCCCCCACCTCCCGGAGAAAAAAGTCAGAAAGATACACTGTCCTTGTGTTTTCTCTAGAATGTGCCAGACCGACAAAAAACGAAACTGTTATTATAGATAGGTATTTTTTTTTAAGTTGTAAATTACAAATCATTGAGATTGATTCCAAATATATACACAAAAAGAAAAAAAACGGGTTTTTTACACGTTGTTAACTTTTTTTTGTTTGAATGAAATACTTGTAACGGACGTAAACCTTTTTTTTTTTTACATTAAAAATAGGTCACTGATACTTCTTTTGTTGTCACTTAGGCGTGAAGCCAGATAAATGTATAACCTCTCCACAGTGGCGTAGCGAGGTCGGGTGTAACCCGGTGCGGCACTTAATGGTGTCAACCCCCAGAGGCGCAGCGAGCCTTTCAAACTTTCGATTTGCACCACCCCCCCCCCCCCTCAAGTTTTCGATTTGCAACCCCCCCTCAAACTTTTGATTTGCAACCCCCCCTCAAGTTTTTCTATATATATTTTGCTATATTTTGCCTTGGTGTCACCCCCCCCCCCCCCCTAAATGGTGTCACCCGGTGCGATCCGCACCCCCCTCTCCCCCCTCGATACGCCCCTGCCTCTCCATACTGTAAGAGTTGGATTGTACACCCAGCACGCCATGCAGCGCTATACAGAATGATAACAGACTATCAACAGGAATTTGTCAATTTTAAGTGACAATGAAGTGACAAGAACATTCTGCGTGTATTATCTTGAACAAAACAAAACGCAGAAACATTTAGATATGGAAAGATGGAGTTGAAGTTTAATATTTTATTTCGGTTAAATAATTTAACTAACCATCTAACCGCGTCTTGAATATATATATATATATATCAAGCGAGACACACCTGCTGTTTGTTAAAGACCTAACCAACGTGACCCACACTCCACTACCAACGTGAACCACCCTCAAATGTCAATGGGTCCCCCTTCCCCACTGTTTTTCTACGAGGATATCGAATATCGATTGTGTTCGCTTTAGTACTGCAAATCACAGGGTTTCTTTTGTATTAAGAGCCCATTTAATCACGATAAATGACTGAACAGTGTATTCTTGTATAAAAGCGGAATCGATACAACGGGGTAATTGTACATTGACATATAGTAGGTAGGGACGACAGGGGGGGGGGAGCTCAGAACAAAATCTTGAATGTTTTATGTTCGATGTTTTATTGAATTGTCTCGCTTGAAAAAGTGTTGAATGAATGACATTAATTACATTGACTAAGCGACGCGTTAACATACAAAGGTCTCCTTTACACTTGGAATTGTAAGCTTAATGCGGTTGGAAATGAATGAGATTTACAAAGCTAGGATAATCTTGTTAAAACACGTTTGTCTGAAATTATAAATTATGGTTCCGTTTACGATTGCATAGCTTCAGGACAATATATATATATATATATATGAAGAAGGTGCAAAGATCGTACACAGGACAATATATATATATATATATATATATATATATATATATATATATATATATATATATATATATATATATATATATATGAAGATGGTGCAAAGATCGTACACATCTCCGTGCCTTTTTTTTTTTACATAGAACCTTTTCGTACTTGGAGTGTTGGCATTAAAATTTGTTAGACCATGACCATGTTTGTGTGACTATAACCTTTATTAGTGCGTGACTCTCTGAACGTGACTCTTAAATTTGATGCAGGCGTCATAGTAGGGTAGGTTGCGGCGTCGAGATTTGTTAGAAGAGATTTGATTGACAGTAGGGTTTGTCAAGTGTCAAATTTTTCTGTATAAAGATGTAAACTTATAGGTTTCGGATTAAGTTATAGGTTTCGGATTAAGTTATAGGTTTCGGATTAAGTCATAGGTTTCGGATTAAGTTATAGGTTTCGGATTAAGTTATAGGTTTCGGATTAAGTCATAGGTTTCGGATTAAGTTATAGGTTTCGGATTAATTTATAGGTTTCGGATTAAGTCATAGGTTTCGGATTAAGTTATAGGTTTCGGATTAAGTCATAGGTTTCGGATTAAGTTATAGGTTTCGGATTAAGTTATAGGTTTCGGATTAAGTTATAGGTTTCGGATTAAGTCATAGGTTTCGGATTAAGTTATAGGTTTAGGATTAAGTTATAGGTTTCGGATTAAGTTATAGGTTTAGGATCTAGCCTAAGTTTAAAATTTGATTAACCATATTATCCCATGATCTCCCATTTCTATAATTGTATATATGTTTACCTTTTGGGCACTGAATGAACAAATGACAATAGACTTTTTTTAAATCAATACTTTTTTTTTCAAAACGTTACCTAAATGGGACGCTAGTAACGAGCGGCTCTATGTAAATTAATTGCACAAAATATTTTTTTTCACGGATTTATGACTAATCACGTGAAAATTAGCGGTGTACTGAGGTCGTTTTGTGATACCAATGATTACATTGTTTATGCAAGCCAGAGGCGTAGCGAGGGGGGTGGGCGGGGACGACGACATATGTCGCCGGGCGCCGACCTCAGAGTCGCCAAAAATGGGTTGGAAAAATAAATCGAAAGTTTGAGGGGGGGGGGGTGCAAATCGAAATCTTGAGAGGGGGGGGTGCAAATCTAGAAAGTTGGAGGGGGGGGGGGGGTGCAAATCAAAATTTTAAGGGGAGGGGGTACAAAAGTTTGTCCCCGGGCGCCGGGAAGGGTCGCTACGCCTCTGTCGCAAGCTAAAAATACTAACAATAATACCATTGTCTAAAAAGCGGAAATAATTTTCAAAGGTCTAGTCACCTTCCAATCTTATATCCAGCAAAGTGAATACCACTTGGAATTAGCTAAAGCTGAGAATATTTCACCTAATTATTATATCGATAACAGTTTCGCTATTCGGTCTGTCGGTATCGCCCTAGAGAAAACACTTTGAAATTTATATCATGGATTGTGAAAGACCGTAACGTCACTTGGAACATATAGGAAGTTTTCAAAATAAAACGAAACATGTACAGTTCTAAAGCTGGAAAAGTACACAAAGTAAAATGAGTTCAAGAAAGTTAGCCTCTAACCCGGGATTCGAACTCGAGATCTTTTGAATTAATTCAGTTTTAATCATATATAAACGTGTGTTTCTTAACAACTTCGCAAGGATTCAGAAAAAGCATTTAGTTTTATTAGAACATAATGACTGAGTTAAAGCAGAATAAAAAAAAAACATTGAAAAATTGCAAGATTTCTCAAATACGAATAGACGACATAACTAATGTATTTATTTAAGTCAATAATTAAACAAATGAATTTCGTTGAGTTACATGCAAGTAAAATGTGATTTTAACCGGTTATAAACCTGCATGTGTATGTAATACACTATACACAATATCACTACTGTACGACAGCCAACTTCCAGTCTATAGGTTCAAACTAAAACCGTACCATTCAAACAGCGCTAATTATTTATAAACTATTATTTTCGTGAATGCCATAGCTCAATTTAAATTTAAACAATAAAGAGTCCAGTTGAGAAAATTAGCGTGTCGGGCCCAGTCGCAGCTATTCCACACAACATGTGCACCGTTGTGGCGCTATTTGAACGCTCTCGAGTATCACAATACCTTTTCATCGGTAAACTAACATATTCAAAATATGGCAAACACTAGCTTTGCATGATACAGACTAACCAATACTAATAATAATACAAATAAAAAAAACATCGAGTTAAATTTATCACTTGTCAGTAGTTCCTTGATAGAGTATTTCAAAGGGAGACTTGCGTATTCTATCAAAGAGATAAACGCAGTGCAAACAGAATAATTTGTTTTCTATTACCCAGAGGCGTAGCTAGGAGAGGGCAGGTGGGGCGCTCGTCCCGGGCGTCGATCCTATGGGGCAACAAATTAGATTGAAAATTATAAAAAGCATACCCCGAGCTGAATGACTAAACTATACACAGTCAAAGTTAAGAATATAGACAATACTTTTCGTGGGTGGGGGCAAAATAGGAGATATTTACTTTGTTGTTAGATTTGGATTGCAAAATGAGTTGGTAGTTCGTTTTTATATTCGAATGTCTAATAATTTTATTACAATTTAAAACAAAATTGTCTTATTTTTATTCACTCTAATATACTAATCGATGTTTCCATTACTAATACTTTTTAAATGCTATTCATTTAGATGTGCTAATTTCTAGGTACAAGTAGGCCGGTATTTTGTGAGGCAAAGGGAGTAGATTAGAAATTTCTTTGATTATTGAATATCAAACCGTTTTTTTTTAAAACATGAAAATATTTTTAAAAATTCAATACACTTTTTTCGTACAGCAAACTGAGTCGATGATTGTTACTTTGTAGTAAATAACTGTCAAAAGAATTATTTTCGTATTTAAATTTTTTTATTTTTTTTTATACCTGTTGTTTCCATGCAATCGTACGGTTAGTACCTGTCTAGCACTTGTCGGGGACAACTAACTATGTAAGGAGACACAAACTAAAATAATGTGTTTTGCCTGTCTTTCTATAGAGTAATTTAGTAAATTATTTGTTGACATGTTCATAAGAGCTCACCTCCCCAGTAGCATTACATAAAATGTGACTTCTATTTTTTTGAGCCCACAGATACGGGGGGGGGGGGTGAAGCTATGGTCACTCTTAATACTTTCTTTCCTGTGCCATTTATTGAAGATAAAAATATTTGCTGTGCGTTTTTATTTTTTCTTAATACTTTTTGTTATTTAAAGATAATTACTTTTTTTTCTAGAACTATGATTTCTACTTGAAGACAAATCTCACAGACCGATCACTTGAAATAATCTCGTAAAAATGGTAGGTTTGATATTACAATAGTATGTTTAATTATGAATGTTGCAAAAATATGTTAAATGTATTACTAATGGTATACCTACAATGAAAGGTTTAATTATTACTTATTGGTGATATGTTAATGATCAATGGTAGTTTTAATTAGTACTGTTCAAAATTAGGGTTCAATTATAAACTGTACAATGATTTGCTTAGTTATAATCAACTTGACAAAGATAAATCTTTCATTATCAATGGTACAATGACAAGTTTAGTTACCTTCTTTCTTCTTCATCGTTCTTAATTTTAGTTAGAATGTTCTCCCTCCAACTATTTTTGTTCCGTTGAGGCCATTGACTCCGATTTCAGCCTGCTTTTCTTTTTGGATTTGCTTCCATAGCCTTTGTCCAACCAAGAACAAACTACAAGGCAGCAGTTGTTTGATTTTGGTGTTGTCTCACCTCGAAGAGTTGCTGAGACCCAGTTATCGTACCTCCAGTAGCGTAGCGAGGGGGGGGGGCGGGGGGACTACGTATGTCCCCGGGCGCCGACCTTAGGGGGCGCCAAATGGGTTGGAAAAATAAATTGAAAGGTTGAGGGGGGTGCAAATCGAAAGTTTGATCGGGAGGGGGGGGGGTGCAAATCGAAAAGTTTGTCCCCGGGCGCCGAGAAGGGTCGCTACGCCTCTGCGTACCTCCCGAGTGTTCGAATTCGATACTTATCGGTTTAGCAACCATGATATCTAAATATATATCACTTGCTACGTAATATTAACACGAGTAAACTACAGGCGAATCAAGTTCTATAATTACTCTAAATAACAACAAGATATCTCAAATTCAATTATTATATTGATCCTTAAATATTACTGTGACATGTAAGTAGTAACACAAGGAAGCTACAGGTAAATCACGTTTTATAAGAACTCTAAGTAGCAAACAAGCTATCCCAAACACAATTCTATTGATGTCTAAATATATATTTCATAGTACGTAAATAGTATTACAAGAAATCTACAAGTAGATCAAGTTTTATAATAACTTTGAAGCGACAAACAAACTGTCCAAATCACCACACCACCGATGCTCACATATCGCTGACACAGCCATTCGTCTTTTAAAAAACCAAGTACAATTACAGCGACGATTTGGGTTCTAAAATCACAACTGACGGCAGATTTCAAACTATTTACCTGACCTCGACGTCACAAATAAGTTTATCGAAATGAAGTAAATTGTATTGCGGTGTGGCTTCATCAGTCTATGGCGTGGGTACCTGCAAGGGGGGAGGGGGGGGGGCGGTGGGGACGACGGTAGACATAGTTATTGTTCGGGCCTGCCCCTATTTATAAAAAACTTTTTTGTTTTCCTTCAATGCCGAGCTTAGTACGCTCTTTGCACACCAATAAGTCACTAACACACTCAGGGTCGAGATTAGGGTGTGCAAACACGGATTCCCGATCTATATTTAGCAGGCTAACCATTAACATAACATTGCACACAAGACAACAAGGTTTTAACATAGTTGGCGCATCTCGCGGGTAGAGTAGATAAAGGCTTTTGTTCCCCAGACAACGTGATCTATTGAGTTGAAAAATGACTGTATCAACATCAAGCGGAAGTCGGGAGTTGTTTGATTTGTTATTTGATTTGTAATTAGGGATAATTCCCCTAATGAAGAGAAACAAGACGCATATTTCACCAGCGTTTTGCGATGATTCTAAAATGATTTGTGTAAAACATTTTTAAAATATTGATTTTTTTGTGAGATCCTTAGGGGACTAGCGTAGTCCCCTTGTCGACAAAAAATACGTCACTGTTCGATGCCTACATCGAATAGTATCGTGAACAGTTAACTGGTATGTCACGAGTCAATCCCTATCTCATCTACTTCAAATTGATTGATTTATAAATGATTATTGATCCATGCCCATTAGCTCTCTGTTGCGTTAATCCAACTATTGTCTTAGTAAACAACGATAGAAGCTATCAGGCTTTAACAAACACTTTAGGAAGCATGCAGAGACAAGTTACTGACGACACGATTTGGCACTGGATCTACGAATAATTCCCAAAAGACACTTGTCCGAATGGGCACTTACCCCAATGCGACAAAGAAAAACACACTTTTTCGATTGGGACAAATGCCCGAATGGACGCTTGCCCGATTAGGACAAATGCCCGAATGGACTCTTGCCCGAATGCTTCAAATGCCAGAAAGCCACTTGTCCCATAAAGGTTAATTATATATTACCTAGTAGCACAGGCGTCGCGAGGCGAGGGCGGGGAGTGCGGACCGCACCGGGTGACGCCATTTAGACAAAAAATTGCAAGATATATAGAATAAATATTTTTTTTGCCAGTTCAAATGAATGTTAATTAGAGTTAAAAAGTATTTTAAGTACATATTGACGATCTCGAAAAGGGGTGGGGGATTGATACCAAACGTAAACATTCAAACTATAGAGAAAACTATTCTACACTCAGCTGTATTTATAACCGACTATATACAAACATCATTAGTATTAAATGTGAACACTTTAAAGCTATTACAGGGGTGTGCACCAACTGCAAAATTTACAGAGAAAAAAACCCAGGGAGGTAGGGGTGGGGGTGACACCATAAGATGCCACACCGGGTGACACCCGACCTAGCGACGCCACTACCTAGTAGACGACTTTAATAAATTTGAATTTGGAAAACGTTTTTATGTCATACATTACCAATAAACTTGTATTTGCATTATAACAAGTGTAAAAACATTTTTTTTTCTATGAAACAAAAACAATGACCGTTTTATCTCAGCTTTTTATAAAATGAATCTCCATTTCCTTATTACATGTTCGCTTTAATTAATACATTGTATAAACAAGATGCGTTGAACGGCGATCAAACATCCGCGACATATAGTGTTTTAAATTCAACGCTGAGACTGTTTCATTCTTTAGTGAAATGATCACCACACAGTGGATGTAGGACAAAAGGCCGACATCCAAAAAGCCGACAAGACAAAAGGCCGACATGGACAAAAGGCCGACATGGACAAAAGGCCGACAGCCTAAAGGCCGACAGGACATAAGGCCGACAGCCAAAAGGCAGACAGCTAAAAGGCCGACAGACCATAAGGCCGGCAACATAAACATACTTATAACGCAAAATACGTGTTACTGCATAGCTCATATCTAGACAACCATTGAAAAAGGGCATACAATATGGTGAAACGTTCAAGAGAAGAGACGATGCTAGTTGCTATTATTATAAGGTGACCCATCGGGTCAAGCGACTGAAGATTACGGGAGTGTCTTAAACACAAAGGATCAACACCTAAATATTGCGAAATGCGCTCACTGGTGTTTTTCATAGCTCATTCTATTTCCTCAAAGTGAGACAACCATCAAAGAACCAAGTTGAAAGCTGCCAGCATCATCGCTCGCAAGCAACAAGGCGGAAAGCTAAGAGGCAATGCTAGTTGCGATCCTTTTAAGGTGAACTATTGGGTCCATGCGACTCGGGATGACGGGAGTGTACAAAGGATACAAATATTGATGGCGTTACCACTATATTATGCAAACAGAATGAAAGAATCTATGAAAATTATCTAAATGGGATTCCAAGGACCCAAAACACAATTGAAGGGTGGCGTAGGGAGTGGCAGGTAATCGTCGGGAAAGATGGCCTGGAGTCTTTTGTTTGCTAAAAAAACCTAAACCAAGATCAAGGAAGAGTGGAAGTAAAGATAGAGGCATTATTGCTTGGTGAGGCCATTAAAAAAAAAAGAAAAAAAAAACCAATATATACAGAAAGAGGACAGGATAAAAAATGTTATAATATAAAGGGAAAACAGAACTAGACTTAAAATTCTACATGGCATAGCATACAATTTAACATACTAGGCCCTAATTTTTTCCTATTTGTAATACAACTTTATCCTTATAACTGGTTTTCAATATAAATTAAAGAAGTCTGTAATTGTAGTTTGTTGTTTTATAAAACTTGTCGGCCTTTTGTCTTGTCGGCCTTTTGGATGTCGGCCTTTTAGCAGTCGGCCTATTGTCGTGTCGGCCTTTTGTCGTGTCGGCCTTTTGTCCGTGTCGACCTTTTGTCCGTATCGGCCATTTGCCCATGTTGGCCTTTTGTCCGGATCCCCCACACAGCAGTCTTAACGCGTTAAACCAGATAAAAGCGCCTGTGTTAAAATCTTGCGGGACGCCGTGCCGCCTAAACCGTTTCACCAATATGCTGCAACCACAGCAAACAACCACCGCTAAACAAAGTGCTCAAGCGATAATCAAAAAATGTAAAGAAAACAACATCTCCTTTACATTATTAAAGAATTTTAAAATATTGAAAAAATTTACTTAATTTTAACAAAAATAAATAACTAAATTTAAAATGTATATATAAATTGTGTTACAATTATGTATAGGAATCTTTAATTCGAATTTATTTAGAATATTTAGCAAAATGTCTTAGAGCAAGTGGCTTTAGGGCATTTGTCGTATTCGGGCAAGTGTCCTTCTTTCTTCTCATTCTGCGTTCTTAATGTTTAGTGTTGGAAGAGTATTAGTATTACTAGTCAACTGGTTATGCGCCATTGAGGCCATTGACTCCGATTTCCGCCTGCTTTTCTTTTTGGATTTTTTTCCATAGCCCGTTACATCTTGTCATGTACATTTGTAAACTTCATAGCCAGGTTCAACTATCCTCTAAAGAATCGAGATTACAATAAATCGGTGACGATTTCGACACAGATATATTAGTTATGGCTTCATTGCTGTAAAATTTAAACAAATAAGCTCTAACTAATGAAATGATCCTAAGCACGACACCATCTATTTTATTTGTATTTACTTATAAGCATGTTGAGACATCGGAGTATATATGTATATAATTATTATTAGAATACCATTCGATTTGTGTTTGACATTTACATTTGTTGTGAAATACATTCAAAAGATCAAGTAATATTATGTGTATTTAGATATCCTTACAATATTCATTTCTCTTACATTCAGAAGGCGCATAGTATATACTGGAATTCTAGATGGAAGATTACTTTTATTGCGCTAGCGATACTTTTCTACATAGGCGTGTACTGGGCCCAACTCACAGGATCTAACCCAAACACAAGAAGTCCCAACAACGAAACTAACTCAAACGTATCTTCTGTGCGGAATAGTTTTCATAAAGTGCAAAACAAAACATCTAATGTTCCACACAGTGATAGCAGGTATTCTAAACTACTGCAGGAGTTGAAAATACCTCCTTACATGCCTTATAGTGAGGTTTTCTTGAAAAATGCTTCAATTAACAACGAATCGCTGGTGGAAGATCTCATCAGGTCAGGATTTGGTCTCCAGTCTTACGTCACGGAAACTGGTGAAGAAATCTGGACAGAAAATGGCGTCCAGTATCGTCCGTTTCCTTACAAAGAACCAAAAGACAGCAAATATTACAATTCAGAGTTTGAAGCCTACATTCCTTTCAATGAGACCACGTTTTTTGAAGGTCGACCAGCTCATCCATTGTTTAGAAATGGGACGAAAAAAATAATTTTATGGTGGCAACATAAAATTGGTCAGGCAAGCATTGACGGGCTAAAAACTTTGAGGGCGTGTCCAGAGTTTCCTTGTGTCATTGGCTCAGACAGGAAGTACACAGACGTCAGTAGTGCTCTACTTGTTGACAGTGAGTTTTTGCAACGTTAGACGTTTTTCTATTTTTAGCATCCTTTTTCCCTATACGCCTCATAACTCGACAATTATTTGCATTTCTTGCGCATCAACTGCATTCTTTAAAAAGTTTTTTTTAAGAATGTCAGTAACTCTAATAAGTATGGTAATATTTTTTTGTTCATGTCCAAGACACATGGGTAAGATGAAGTAGAGTTTACTTGTTTCAATGACCTCAGCATGTGAAGGGAAAGTGTGGTCAGCAGTGTTCGCAGCAGCCTTAACTTTCCCTAGGGTGAGTTAGGTACGCATCAGAGCTGGCTGGATTCGAACTCGAGACTCGAGTCTAACTCTGTACAGCATGGCCACGCAATCTCTTAATAAATACTAAGTTAAATTTGAAAGAGTATAATGGTTGTCACTTAAATAAAATTGTTTGAATAGAAAATAATATTAACTGTATGTGAGTACTCATTATTACGTAGAGAGATGCAGTTTCGCCACCAATGGGTCTTGTTGTGGACTCGACGTAATAATATTATATGTTGAACAAACGTGCTAGCTTGGACTAAATTTTTAAAAAAAAGTGGCATTTGTTGAAATAACTATTTGTTTACAAAAGTTATTCTTTACCAGGAATACCCTACAGTAACCGAATGAATACAAACATAATTATCACGCATGACTGGGCACAATATAAATAAACCCAAACCAAACCAGGACTACTTGATTGCCAAATACTAGATCTAGCCTAACAATTTGATTACCTCTTGCCTGAATCTTAAAACTTGAATCTTGTGATCATTCCCAATGCTATTTTAACACGTGTGTCATTTCTACCAGTCTGATTTCTAATTATAGCGGTTAGTTGTATTAATTTTAATCACATATAACAACACTAACACATTTAATTATTTTGATCAAATTACAGCACAATTTGTAAACCACGAGCCTCCACCTGCCCTTAAAGCTGATCAAGTTTTAGTTTACTATCAAATAGAAGCTAAGGGAGATATGTGGTACGGAAATATATTTCAGGAGCACCCACACTGGAATACAGCATTCAACTGGACGATGTCTTTCAGAAGGAACGCGGACATTCGGACTTACTACGGTTTGATCAGAAGAAGAAAACATATCAGAGAAAAAAATTACACATCAATTTTAGCATCTAAGACGAGGCTGGTCGCCTGGTTTGTGTCGAATTGTAATACAAATTCAAAACGGGAAGAATATGTGGCAGAGCTTCAACGGTATCTAAAGGTCGATGTTTATGGGAAGTGTGGTACGTTTAGTTGCGCCAGAGGAAACGATAGCAGCTGCCGTGATCAAATTCGTAAAAAGTACAAATTTTACATAGCGTTTGAGAGCAATCTTTGTAAAGATTACATTACGGAAAAGGTGTATAAATACTTCGATTCAGATTTCATTATTATTGCCCGTGGATCAAATTTCTATTCGAGTAATCTCCCTTCAGAAACTTTCATAAACACCGCTGACTTCAAATCTCCCGAGGAACTGGCTAAAAGAATTCTATATTTAGATTCCCATGACGATGCTTACATTGCAATGCTGAAAGAGAAAGACAAATACTTTAGCATCTACGAGGATTATCCGTTATACCGTATCGATCCTGTGTACCTGGAGTATCGATACGAGGCAGTTCCCATGTGCCAGTTGTGTCAGCGGGTCTGGAACTTGGAGAAATATGCTAAAACTGTGCCAGATTTTCTTGGGTGGTTTTATAACACAGAATTTAAATGCAATTAAGTAACTTCTATAAAACGTTTAATTAAATCAGCGAGCTGTTACAAAATAAATACTATCGTATTTACTATTGTAAAATCGAAAACAAGTAGTCTAACTACTGTACAATAAATATCAAGTTTTGTGAAAAACGATAATGACGTTTCATGCTTGAAGATTGCCAGTTGCATAGGCGTGCTTATAATGGTCTTTATATCTAATATATAGAACCAAATACACCTTGAGATTTGGAGAAAACATGAAATAACAGACTGAGAGATCTAGTTTTCTGCCTAAGTGAAAGCACATTTTGCTAAAGTATAAAACGAGGAAAATGATAAATTTTTACAAAGTTTTCGTTTGATCAAATTGTAATTATGGCTATGAGTTTTGCTATTCAATATACTAACAATGATTATATGGATTGTAGTATAATTTAGTTTTTCAAAGCAAAGTTTAAATGCCCTTTACAAAGATTAAGTTAAAAGGAAAGGAGCTTGACTGCATATTTACAAAAGCTTTATGGCATTGTATATAGCCCATTACTTGCCTGTAATTTATATATTTATTTACATAAGATTTTGTGATTTTGCCTTCTTATTTTTTAAATATCAACGTGATTGACAAAATTGTGCGTCAAAAAATGTATTGCTTAATAAATTATTGTTTAAATTACTTTATTTTAATTTGATTGTATCATGAATATTCACACCAGGCAATACATACAGTGTGACACACAAAGTTCAGAAAAAACCAACATTTCGAAAGCTTGATTTTAAAGCTGATCTTGTATTTTCGTGCTAGTCGTCTCTCTGTTGAGAACATGTGGCTGAAACTGCTATTAGCTTTACTAACTGGCAAGAAAAGTTGTTTCCGGTTTGTGAGCGAGGGGGGGGGGGGGGGAAGGAGACTAGATAAAGAGTTAAAGTAGTACAATATTTTTTCTAAATAAATTATATATCTTTTTATAATTTGTCTTTTGGCAGGGGTAGACACTCAAGGAGATAAGTGAAAGAAACACTGGTCTATTAGTGTTACAGCTTATAAAAACAAACATCCACAAACATGATGTTGTTGTTTTTAATTATATTTAGCGCTAATATAGGAGCGCTGTCGTAACATAATAAGCTGTAAGTTGTGTTCAATGGTTGGTCAGTGAGGAAAAACGTCTTGTCGATCGCGAGACGAACAATTTTACAGCAGGGCCCACGTCTTGTCAATTGCGAGACAAACAATTTTATAGCAGGGCCCACGTCTCTTCAATCGCGAGACAAACAATTTTACAGCAGGACCCACGTCTTGTTGATCGCGAAACAAACTATTTTATAGCGGCACCTACATCTTGTCGATCGCAAGACAAACAATTGTATAACAGTCCAAGTGTGAACTCTCTTTTGAACATTTGTTTGTTTTATCCTAGTTTTGTGAGGGAATCACGCCCCCCCCGTCCCCCAACGCTATCCGTCAGTTAATTACCCCGGTCATTTCCCTCGGAATACTACCTAGAGAAATTGCCTTTCTCTAATTTCTTGCTTGTATATTACCCCCCCCACCCCCACCAATCGGACCAAGGAACTGTTGGTGGTCAGAAAACTGGTTGTTATGAGTTAGCCCTATACCTAGCCATAAAATTATATATATATATATATATATATATATATATATATATATATATATATATACATATATATATATATATATATATATATATATATATATATATATATATATATATATATATATATATATATATATATATATGCAGTGTTTCTTCCAGACTTTTTTCTCCGGGGGGGCACTTGAAATTTTCGGGGGGGCGGTAAACTTTCTTCGGGGGGGCGGACACTGTTAAAAGTATATATTTTCTATATGGTAAAAATTTTTCGGGGGCAAAGCCCCCCCGAAGAGATGCCTGGAAGAAACTCTGTATATATGGCAGTCGTCCGATGCCTGTTCGTGAACTTGCCGGCTTAGCAGGCGTTTCAAATTTGGCAGGCGTTCGCATGTGGCCAATAGAACACGGAAAATAAAATTGGTCAGACTCTAAGTCCTTTACGAGGTCTAACAAAATGAACGCGACTGACTGAGCCTGATATTAGCTATATATCTAAAAATAACTTTGGCGTCGACCATTGAAACCATCTACTCAGGCGTGCCATTCTCGTACTGAACCTCTGCATTAACTAACGCTGGTTACGATATCTCGCTCGACCATCTCCTCGCTTCAGTGGCTTTATTCAGTGTCAAGTCTTTAGTATCAACAGTTCTTCTACCTCAGAGCCTAATGCCTCAATGGATTCTGCTAGCTTGTGGAGCCAGCCCAGCCGAAAGTAACTGATGCATATCGATGGTCTTTTGAAGCCTAGCATCCATGACATACGGCAACATATTACACTAGGTTAAGTTACAATCATACCGGGTTTACACAGGATAGTGGTTAAAAAGACGGTGTTAGAAACCCAGGGTTGCTTTCATACAGTTCCCATCCAGAGGGAGGGGCGGGTGGGAAACTTTAATTTAAAGATAACAGCGGGTACATGTGTCGATTTGATACGGAGTTTTCACGAGCATACAAAAGTTTGTGTAATGTGTGACGTCCTGTTTGTACTTAGGTGGGAGTGTTCATTATAATTCGAACTGTTCTTGATTTGAAAGTTTTCTAACGCTGTTAATTTTTAAATAACTTTTTAACTGCAATAAATATTTTAATATATATGTAGGCCTGTACTGGTTTCAGACAAATGAAAATGTCAAGTTTTTAATTGATTGGTGTTTTTGGGTGATTATAAGTTAAAATAGAGCGAATAAAACACTAAACGAGTTTTAATCAACTTCATAACAACGAACTCTAAATCACACCGAAAAAACAACATTTTTTTATTACTTGTTTTATAAAAATTATTATAAGTACTTCATGCGGAGATGGGGGAACGTCTCCCTCCCCCCCCCCCCCCCCCCCACCATCGAAGAGATGTCTGAAAGCAGCTCTGAGTCTGTTTAAAAACAATTGGTGTTATAATTTATCCTTCCAAGCCCACCTACCGTGAATTGACACTCTTTCTCGCTAAAATAAATTGACTGTCAGCTTTAAACGCGATTTGTAACTTGCGATATGTTGTGTATTGACTAATAGGCGTATTGTCGGGGCCAGACTCAGCTATATCGGGGCCGGGTCTAGAAAAAAAATACTAACAATAAAAAAATGATAAGCACAAACCTAGATAATGTTAGGATCGTTCACTTATTGTGCTAAGGATTGATCCCTTATTGTGCTACGCTTAAAATTAAACTAAACAACTTAAGTTAAAATATATTATTATGATTGTTTGATTAATTATAAACACGGCTGATTTCGGATCGGTTTCTGCACATATTATTTGCTGCGTGAATTTGTTTTATTCAAACCGGTTAAATAATATAAGGGGAACTACTAGCTATTTATTTTTACTGTGATAATAAATATCTATTACTTCCCTTTAGAGTTACAGTTATAATTTCGTAGTTATGTAGAAAATACAGTTCTCACAATCAAATACTGAAATAAAGTTGAAATCTTTGATAACCTGGTTTACTAAAAAATGTGATGAAATGTGTTTTTAGATCTTTTAATCTCAGGACGAACGTTACCTGAAGTGAAGGGTACGCAACCAAATTAACAAGTATAGGGGGTGGAAGCAGGCGTTGTAACTGAAATAGCAATATAAACAGAAAGTGATATTTCAACGCCTAGGGTAGATAAAGGTACAGAATATAGTCCAAGTAAAGACAGAACCGTCAGAACCCAAAAGGGTTCCGAACCTACCTTTCCACACGGCACCAAATCGCCTCGCCCTCCATGCATCAAGTCAGACGTGTAAATACTTCTGCCAATCAGCTCTAAAAAAATAGAGCTTTCATGACAGACCACTCTACATGTTTACACTATACCCATTTAAAAAAGCTACTATTTGTCTGTATCGTCGTCCCTATACATGTGTCGCCTGTGTGGTCGAATAATAGTCCTTGTTGTGTTTATGAGGCTAGCGGTCAGACCCTTTGGGTTCAGAAGTCAAGCCAGCCCGCGTCTTCCGTGCATTAATTGTGATAGTGGTCTGCCATGAAAACATTTATTTATGTCAAGTAGTAAAATCTTTGTAACATTTTAAAATGTTGGAATTTAACTTTTTGTTGTTGTTGTTGATATTTTAAGAATTGCTATATTTCAAAGGTTTTATTAACACGAGTCTATGACACAAACTCACTTGTTTAAACTTCACAGAGATACATATACAAATATTACAGACATAATTGCTTTTTTATGCCTTGAGAATTAAGTGCATCATATACATTTATTGAATGAAATTGGCTTTTCTAACATTTTGATCAGTTAAAAAGGAAGTAAAAAACACTTTGTGTTTACAATTGAAAAGAACCCAATCATTTACAAAAACATAAAAATGTAAAGGAACAACACAAAAATATGTGTCAATGATGTTTTCAGAGAATTCGTGATAGTGCTGCAAATTAAAGTTAAAAAAATTATTGTTGGTGTAGTATTGTCTTGTGAATTTAGTTTATACAACATATGGTTTTAAGGATGTGTATTTATTTAAAATTTAAGTTACCAAAGTATTGTAATTTTTGTATTATAACAAGTTTTAATTGTCATTTTTACAAACTTTTAAAATTGTTAATGTACACATAATATTCTTGTTTTGAATTAAATTTATTTTAAAAACACTCTAAAATATTATTGACTGAACATCAACATAAATTAATTATAATTATCGTTAATTACAAGTACAGTAAGTATAATAGTTATATTGTTAAACTTATAATTAAATGGAATAATTGCGTACATAACAATCCATATGTTTTGTTTCAATATTGATTATCTTTATAATATCATTAATAATTATTTTCTGCAAAGGTAAATAAAATCTAACGCATCGTTTGCCTACATTTGTTGAATTTTTGGAGTAAAAATAAATCAATTCAAAATAATACAACATCTTAAAAATATGTTGTAAGGATTTAAAAAATGTAACACTCAAATAAAAAAGTGATCTCGCCTAATTTTTCTCGAATACTCCTATATTAAACAACAGGGGATGGGAACTCGGGATATAGTTATGATTTTTAATCCATTTTAAATACTTAAACTTTTAAAAATATAATAGAATCTCATAAAAAAAAGAATTGCGCACTAAGCGAACGACGAATAAAGATGTGCATAATAGTGCGGAATATTATTAGTACTTTATAAATTCACTTGCTTTTTGAGAAATTGGAAATAGCGTAAATTAGTACTTCCGGTCAAAACAGAAATTACTCAATATTTGACAGAAGGCAGTGAATTAGATCTTTTACTTACATGTGAAATTTCATTTATCTATCTGTAATAATACTCAAGTTATAGGCTTTTGATAAAAATTCAAACTAGTTAAAAGTACCACTTCCGGTTATCGGAAATCACTCAAAAGTTGACACGGATCTACGATTTTGATAAAATACTTATATATGAACTTTCATCAACCTAGCTGTAACGGTACTAAAGTTATCGTGTTTACACACACACACACACACACTCACACACACAGACACACAGACAGACACACCGAAATACGGACAAGATTGCAAAATTATGTTTTTTTCCGTATCAGTGAGGTGTAAAACGTCAAGATTTGTAAAAATCTCGATTTTTTTTGCACGATTACAAGACTTTCTCTATAATTCGTATACACGAGAAAGTAAAAACATCAATTGGAATAATAAAAAGCAATT